GAGATTGTGATCCAGTGCTGATGGAAACAGCCCAGAGAACAAGGTGTATGTGTGTGTGTGAGAGATTGTGATCCAGTGCTGATGGGAACACCCTAGAGAGCTTAACTTACTGATTCCCACTTGTAGAATATTAAGAGCAGAATTTTGTGGTAATCTTTGCTAGATAATGAGTCAATAGTTTTTTTTTCCTCTTTGTGTGTGGTGGGGTATAGGGGAGACAGACGGAATGTGTGCCATGGGTAAGGAAGTCAGAGGACAACCTTGGCATCAGTCCTTGCCTTCTACCCTGTTTGGGGCAGGCTGTCTGCTGTTTGCTGCTGCATATGCTAGGCTAGCAGGCTCAGGTTTCTGGGAATTCTCCCTTCTCCACCTTCCATCTTCCCATAGGAGTGATGGGATGTTAGTTTGCTTGTTTGTTATGGGATTCGAACTCTGGTCTTCGTGTTTGCATGGCGAGGACTTTGCCCACTGAATCATTTCCCACCCTAGAGCAATAATAGTTTTAGAACAAAGCAGTTTATACAGTCTTAACTCAAAACAAGTTTATAGAAAGAAATGAGCAGTAAATCCTAATATTTAAATTTTAATCCGTGTTATAAAATAGTTCATATGTTTGTGAGAGCAAAGAATATTTTTCTTATGTTTTCAGATAAGTGTTTTCAATATGCACTTAGACGTAAGTAGCTGACATAAGTGTTTGCCATATTAGAAATAGACATTACTCATTAATTTCAGAATATAGTTAAAGATACACAGACCTATGCACAAACCAGTTATTTTCATTCACAGAGGACAGAAGAACTGTTTGTTGCTAAAGACAGCTGTTTTGTTACTTTGAGACAGGGTCTTACTAAGAAGCCCAGGCAGGCCTCCACCTCAGAATCCCCCTGCTTCCGCCTCACAGACACTGGGGTTAAAGGTGTGTACCACTACTCCAGGTTGAAAAACTGGCTTTCTGAAGGGAGAGAAGGGAGAGAGAGCCCCTCCCCCACCCACAGCGGTTATTCTGCTGTTGAGATAGAAGGCCCTGGTAAGAGCCACTTGGGAGGGGTCCAAAGGGATGGAACCCAGCCATTGTGGACATGTGAGGTCATCTGTCAGAGGAGGCGTGGTGGCAGGAACAGGAAGCTGATGCTCACATTTACCCAGATACCGGAAGTAGAGAGAATGAGCAGGAAGTGGAGCAAGGCTGTAAACTCTTAAATCCTGTCTCTAGGGACTTACTCCAGCATTGGGCCACCTTCTAAAGGTTCCAGACCATGCCACCAATTAGGGAACATTTCTTACTCAAAACACCACACCATCTTTCTTGTCTCTTCCCTCCAGGACTCCTGTACGTTGAGGTACGTTTTACTCGTCCCCGCGCTCTGTTGAGTAGTCAGCCACATGTGCTCGGTGCTGCCCCTGTTAAGGCTCCAGCTTTGGACAGCACATTCTCTTGGTCTCCATTGTTTCAAGGAGCATGAGCAGTCAGACGTGATGGCTTACCTCTGATCTCAATACTGGGGGAGGGCAAGACTGGAGGACTACTGTATTTAAGGTCAGACCAGCTACGTAGTAAATTCTGGGCCGGCCCGGGCAACAGAGTCAGATTCTGTCTCCAAACAACAATAAAAGCCCAACAACAGAACAGCGGGGCAGGCAGACATTACTTCCAATCAGGTATGAACACGTGTGAAAGGGAGCGTCAGATCTTGGATAATATCCCCTTCATGGTAGGACAGCGGTTCTCAACCTGGGGGTTCCAACACTTCTGGGTAGTGTTAAATGATCCTTTCACGGGGTCCCATATCAGATATCCTGCATATCGGATATTTATATTACAGTTCATAACAGTACCAAAATTACAGTCAGGAAGTAGCAATGAAAATAATTTGATGCTTGGAGTCACCACAATGTGAGGAACTGTATTAAAGGGCTGCAGCATTTAGGGAGCTCAAGAACTGTGTTTGGAGAAAGACCAGAAACGCAGTATTTGCTGTTAAGGCCTGCAAGTCCCTCTGTCTCCTGAACTCAATGCATCTCACTGTCCCCAAAGGACCTGCTCCCTCCTCCAAGTGTCTCTCTGTCTCCTTGGCCAGGAATGTCCTCCCTGAGTGCCACCTAACCAGCCCAGTCTTTCCCTAAACAGCCTTCAGATTTCAGCACACATGTTAGGTCCTCAAGAATGCCTTCCTGGAATCTGCCAGTCTTGAGTAAGATTCCCCAGTGGCTGATCATGTATCTGCTTGTATTTTTCTTCATAGAACTGCCATTTGTAATCTTGTTAGGAATATGATATATAGGGGCCATCACGTTACATTTCTCACTAGGTGCACATTATTCTATTCATTAAAAAGCATGCATGAAATATTGTCAAATGATTTATCAGTAAATTCATATTTCATCGTCATTAACGCGGGGATGGGGGTAAGGAGTGGAGAGGATGACAAAGGAAAGAATGTGGAATTGTAAGGACGAAAGCAGATGATTTGAATTAAGTGTTTTTTAGGGTTTCTCTATGTAGCCCTGGCTATTTCTGGAACTCAGTCTGCAGACCAGGCTGGCCTCGAACTCAGAGACCGACCTGCCACCATCTCCCGAGTGCTGGGATTAACGGTGTGCGCTCAGCATACCCGCCTAAAGTGCGGTTTCTTTTTTTTCAGACTAACTTGAGCACTGAACTCGAAGATGAGTTGATTATCTAACAAATAACTCTCCCATCCTTCCTTAACTTCATGTGGCTTTAACTCTGCAGAGCTCGGCTGTGGGTAGTGCGTCCCCCTTGCTCCTCCAGGCTCTGTCTCACCTCCCTTTGGTCCAGCAGCAGCTGATGAAGTTTGATGGCGCCCACACCAATAATGTGAGTGTCTCAGCCCAATGATGGGGGTGTGGGGGGTGCGATTTCACACATGTATCCGTCTTCCCTGGGCTCTCCGTTCCTCCCCCATGGAAACTGTCTCCCCTCACCCCTGCTGTAGAAGCCCGGCTTGCTCGGAGAGCCGCCCGCCATGGTGCTGCAGCCCGCACTGGCAATAGGGCCCCCACTCTCCCTGAAGACGGACCTGGGACACCATGGAGACGCACACAGAAGTAAGTGACCTTTTTGCCGGGAAGTCCCTGTGCAGTCAGCTTTGAGACTTGATAGTTTACCTCCATTCCTCTCTTATTTATAGGATGATTAAATTTAAATCTTGGTGACTTAAAATTTAAAGAGCCCCGTTGCCACATCTGATATGTTATTAATGGGCTTGCCTCCATGCCAAGATGAGACGGTCCCTGCTGGATGGCCTTTAATATTTCATGCAGGTTCACAACAGTGCCAGGTGAAGACATGGCTTCCCTTTGACGCTGACATGCTTGCCCACTGGGCTCACAGTAGTGCCAGGCGAAGACATGGCTTCCCTTTGACGATGACATGCTGCCCACTGGGCGCACAGCATAGTCCCCGTGTCTCCATTTTAGTTTCGCCGAAGAAGGACCCTCAGCCCTTAAACAGGGAGTAGCTAGAGTTTGTAAATTTAAGCCCTGTTGACTTGAGTCATTTTTAAATTACGTCTTAAAATGATTACTCAGAAGACAACTGATCCACATGCTCTGGGCACGTGACAGGCAGAATGTTTTTATTTTAGAAAACTAGAAATACGCCAGGGTTTCTTATTTTATTGTAATTTAGAGAAAAGCTTTCAGTTGGTCCGACATGAGCATGCAGAGTGAAACCAGCGCCGGTGGCCATTTAAGTTCCGTACACATAAGTAACACACTTCGTCTCCTACAATAAAACCGACCAGACTGCTCAGTTGAGTCTCACTGCGGAAATTGACCAGGCTGTGGTTAAATTGCCAAGGAATTTCTCGCAATGATCGGAGTCTGTCATCCTAAAATCTTTGACTTTCCACGACTGCGAGCTACGAAAATGTTTATTCCTCGTGGTAATGCTAGCTGATACACAGCTCTCTGTCTCGTGTGCTGTCTTAAGAACGCTGATGGTTCACCGTCTAAGCAAACCTATTCTGAGAGACGGAGGAGCCAAAGCGAGTCCTCCACCAGCTAACAAAGCTGCTTAGTGAATTTGTAGAATGGAAGTTTGATCTAGTCATCAAAATTAACCGTTTTAATTTCCTTTTGGCCTCTTGTTTTGTCTGCTTTTTATTTATTTATTTATTTATTTATTTATTTATTTTTTATTTTGAGGCAGGGTCTCATTATATTGCCCAAGCTGGTCTTGAACTTACGAGGTCACGTGATCTTGCCTTAGCCCCTGTATATTTGGGAGATGCGTATTGCCATGCCTGGCTGATCTATGCATCTTTGTTTTATTTTTAAATTTGAAATTCATTTTATTTATTTTTTGTTTGTTGAGAGTTGGGCACACGTGTGCTATGGCATACACGTGGAATGTGTGTAGCAGCTTGTAGGAGTTGGCTCTCTCCTATCCCAGGCTCGTGGGATTTAAACCCTGCCCAGGGCCAAGTGTCTTTCTCTGCTGAGCCATCTCACCAACCCTGACTTACAGATTTAAAAAAATAATAATAATAATAATAATAAAAAGTGAGCCCTAATTTTCCTATGAAAACTTTTATTCTTTTCAGGATTTTACTTCCTATAAGTAATACATAACTTTTATTGATTTAGTGTTTGTCTATTCCTGAGCATTGACTTCAAGGACAACAGTGGCACTCTGGTGTTTAAGTACCAGATCTTTCCACTTAGAAATAGTGTTGATTTATAGTATTTGTGAATTTCCACGTGTAAATCTTCAACCGCTGCCAAGGCCAAGTTGCCAGGATAAAGACCGCAGACTCAAGCTGCGAAGACATGGGTGCAGCCAGCTCTTAGCAGCTGCCAGGGCTTGCTAACCGGGCTTGCTATGGAATCCCCATCAACTGAGGAAATGCTGAATTTTTAAAACCCTAGACTCAGCTATTCTCTTCAAGTATGGAAACAACCAAATTGCAATGATTGGGCATTTTAAAGTACTGATATAATTTAACTGTCAAAAAAAGAATCATAAGCTTTTAAAATAATAATTAAAATGTATCATTAAAAGTAATATTGAGGTTATCTTAGAAATTATTGAGAATTTTAACAGCATTATTAGTGTCAGGTTTTGTTTTCTGGTGAGCTCATAGCCTCTGCCCTCACCCGCTGGACTCCACAGTTCTCTGTTCGGTACAGAAGGGGCCCCGAGCCTCGTGTAACCGGGGTTCCTTTGCCTCTGTGGTTCACTCCAGCGTCTACTCTGATTCCAACGCAAACGACACTGGCAGCCGGCCTGGGCATGCTACCCTTCCTCCCACACCAGCTCACTGCCGGACAAGCCGGGCCGGGCCGTGGGACCACTCAGGAGAAGCAGTCGGCCTCAGCGGGCGCCACGGAAGCCAGTTTCTCAGGGTCGCAGCAGTATCTGCAGACCTTCCCAGGCCTTCCCACTGGCGGCCCACTGACAGGCCACCAGAAGACCCAGCAGAGCCCAGCGAAAGGCCCGGAGGTAGGTTCCAGGGCGAGAAAGCGCCTTTCCTCTCCTCTTTGTCCCCGAATTGTGCATTGTTCTGCGGCAGCCAGTGACTTGTGTGTGGTGATTGTCCCTACTGCCGTGTTTTCCACATCTTCTAAGTGACAGCTCCAGATTACCTTCTGGAGCTGCTGTGAATTTGTTAAGGGTTGAATTTCATGCTCATTTGAATGATATCGATCCCTGGAGCATAGCAAGCATTCAGCAGCTGTGCACTGAGTGAGCAAACCTGCGGCCATGCGATAAGCATGCCACACGCAAACCCGGATTTCTCTGAGGCTTACAAAGGTGTCTGAGACAGGTTTGCTGTCCAGACACAGCAGCATTGCCAGGAAAGCGTCAGGAACATAAAAGGGTCTGTGGCTCTCCCAGGCAGACATGAACACTCAGGACTGCACTTCTTTCATTGTGCTTTTAAAAAAAATAAAATAAAAAGACAAGTATGCAAAGAAAACTAAGCTTTATCTTACCTATCTAACCAGAACTGTAGTTTTAAAAGCCTTTACCAGAGAGTAAAGAGTAAGCCATCTCTCAGGAGAATGTGGAGCATAGTGAAGACTCAGCCCCCATCCCTTCCTTTTCTGTTAAATGGATGAGGTCCTTGCTTCTGTGAGGTATGTGGAAGTAGTGGTCCTGTCTAACATTGTCTCCTGAGAGTTGGCTCACGAACTTCTCTTTCTCATTCTCTCTAGCTTGGCATTACTTTCAGGCCTAGAGATGAGCTTGTGCCATTTGTTTTTAGCCACATAATGAAAATTTAAATCTTATAACTAATGTGAATCCCTGCGTTTCTAGATATCAGATACAGAATTGGTTGTTTTATTTTGTTTCTTGCAAAGATGAATTCTCTGAGATCAAGTGAGAAGATACAAGACGCCTCAGGTTGTGCTCTACTTGTAGAATTCTGTTTATTTATTTATTTTTTATTGGGGTTGTTGAGACAGGGTCTCTCTGTGTAGTCCTGGCTGTCCTGGAGCTTGTTATGTAGACTAGGCTGGCCTCGAACTCACAGAGATCCGCCTGCCTCTGCCTCCCAAGTGCTAGGATTAAAGGCAGCTAGAGCCCGCAAATGATCACACTGTACAAGATATATTGAAAAACAAGTCCTTTTGCACTTTTAATTTTAGTGAATAGTTTAAATAAGCAAGTATTAGTTGTGTGGCTTGTAAGATCCTGTTGAGGACTTCTATGACTTTTGGGGTGTGTGTGTGTGTGTGTGTGTGTGTGTGTGTGTGTGTGTACTGTGATGTCCCTCATTCTTTTTACACCACTCATTCACCATCCCAACCTCTGTTTCTGGTGAATAGGCCGCCTCTAAGAATCAGACTTCACTCTTGGGAGAACCACCCAAAGAAATTCGCCTCAGTAAGAATCCGTATTTGAATCTGGCGAGTGTGTTACCCAGTGTGTGCCTAGGTAAGCAGGGCCTCTGGTCAGCCCTAGGGGTCCCTGGAGATGGTCTGTGATGACTTCTACTTTCATCGTCGACACTCGTGATACTTTACTGACAAAACTAAGCTCTAAATCACGAACTTAGTCTTTCGCAATCATCTCATTATTTGGGTAAAAAAGAAAATTAAAAAACTTAAAAAAAATCTTCGCAACAGTATTTTTTTTAAAGATTTATTTATTTATTATATATACAACATTCCTCCATGTATGCTTGCAGGCCAGAAGAGGGCACCAGATCTCATTAGAGATGGCCATGAGCCACCATGTGGTTGCTGGGAATTGAACTCAGGACCTCTGGAAGAGCAGTCAGTGCTCTTAACCTCTGAGCCATCTCTCCAGCCCCCACAACAGTATTTTTATTTAGGCAAAATAATCCTATTCAGTTCTTATTGCGCCATTACTGAAAATGATGAAGGAGGTGGGTTGTTTGAAGCCCTGCAGTCATTCGCCGTGCAGGCAGAATCATGAGTCTAAACCAGAGCTTGCAGCCTCTAAGTGACCTAGCAGTGCATTCGTGCGCGCTGGGTATATGACTGCCACTCAGCAGAAGCGGAGTCAACCAGGCCTTCTTAGCGTGGATCAACCCTTACTCAAACACAGTGCTACAGAAAAGTCAGTCATGGGAAACTGAAGAACACATTCATGTCGTCCGGGAGGGAAGAGGCTGGGTACCCAGAGTGGAACACTGTGACTTTTAAAAACCAGCGATAGTACTAATCAGAAGTAATCTACATTGTTCACGTAGGAAGGCGTCTCTAAAGATGATTTTAAATGGAAAAAGTGAAAGTGAGCTCCGCATGATTGCGGTGCTGCTGCTAAGCCTGTGCGACAACAGGCACGCGCTTGTGCAAATGCGGAACGTAGCTAGGAAATTGCAAACTGCTCTAACAGGCACGCGCTTGT